TTTCGTGCAATTCATCCCTGGGGGATCCGAGGCGCTTCCCCTCTTTGGGTTTGCGGCTTGTGTTTAGAGAAGGCAGGGGAAAAGACGGCGTTCTCGGGTCAAATGATTCTGCCGAAAGTTTGTCTCGTCAAGCGTGCGGCCCTCTCTCCAGATGTGCGTTGCGCTGTGGCTTTCTGGTGTCACTGTCAGCCAAGGAAAACAAGCGCGAGACTCGAAGCCCTCTCGTTTGTTCCTTTTCTGCAGAACTGTTTTCAGAATCCGGGGAGAGAGAGAGAGAGAGAGAGAGAGAATTCACATGGTAGTCCCTTGATTTCTGGATTTCCGGGCGGGGTTCTTCCTCCTAGCCTCAATCAGTTTTCCTCCTTAATTTTCAGAATCCGAGCGGCAATCTCGTGAGAGTCCCAACTCGGGCCGCTTTTCTCCCCGGGGGAGGTCTGTCGCAATTAACCTCTTCATCTGTCTCACTTTGTGACCCAAGAATTCGCCAATTTAAGTGTTTAAAGGGAAACAAGACAGTCAAGCCGTCGAAACTCTAGCTGTTGAAACAGCCCCACATTCCGGCCTGGTTTAAGTGGTCTTATTTATTAGTAGCGTTTATTTTGGGCATTTCACTTAGTAAATTATGATTACTATTACTGCTATTACTTTGTCCTCTGTTTTGAGAGAGTGATTTCAGTCTTTTTGGAAAACAGTATCGTTTGTCCTCTCCCCTTTACCTTTTTGTTCTGCAGTAACTTGTATTTTGACCTGTGCAATATTGTACACGATTTTCTGAGAGCGATGTTTCCTCCTCCACCGAGGAAAACAGGCCTTTTCGCTGTATGATCATGGTCATTTGTTTCAAAAGAAAAACAATATTAGGCAGGGGAAGGGGGGGAGGAAGGGGACAAGCACAGGCAGCGATGCTCAAAGGAGTGAGTTAGGTATACTGGAGCGCTTTAAGTGAAGGACAATCAATTTAGGATAATTTTAACTTATTTGATAAATGTACAGATTCCTTGTAAAGTTCACCCTCAACCCGGCAGGGCCCCGGCTCTGTCACCAAATCTGTTTTCTTTCTGCCGGCTACACCTGTTGTTCTGCGGTAGTTTGTTTCCCCTCGTCTCCCTCACCTCTGCCCGGGTTCAGTCCCTTTTTAAGAAAAGGGGGGTGGGGGAAGCCCACAAAATATTGTTACATTTAATGTTGTCGTGAAATTGAATTAATTAAAAAGAAAAGCGAAGCCTTTCGTGTTGCCAGAGTGTGTAACTTGGGACGACTTGTCCCCACCCCGAGCAGGTGTCCCCCAAACTCTTGTCTGTCTCGCTGGCAAAGTCCGACCTGGACGCACGTCCCGATAATCCGGGAGGCAGCGGAGACAGAGGCGGCTTTGTTCACGACCAGGGGCGCTCTCTCTCCAGTGTCTTCCGTGGCTTGAAAGGCCCAGGGAGCAGGGAAGAATGTGGGGCGGAAGGGGCGAGGACCTAGGCTTATGTGGTGTGCGACATGGAGCAAAGCGACAGCCTCGAGAGGCGAAATACCGGACAGCTGGTATTTCGGAGCGCCGAGGGGCAGCCTCGCATGCCGTTCCACGGGTCATTCGAGAGCCGAGAGCTTCTGGACGGGGCATCTCTGAGCAGTCGCCAACCGGTTAGGACCGTGGTGGGCTGCGGTGCCCCGGTGGTGGTGGAGGGACCCAGGGAATGAGTTCAGAGTTCAGCGGCGGCGGGAGGCCGATCGTCAAGTCCGGGTGGGAGAGGCTGGACCGGGAGAGGACGGCCCCGGAGAGGCCAAGCAGCTCGCGGGAGCGCAGCTCGCACTTCCAGGGGAGGGAGGCCTCCGCAGGGCTCGCGGGGCTGCAGCTCCCGGGGTGGCTTCGGCGTGGCCGCTGTCCTGACGCGTCACCCGGCCGCGGCAGCGGCCACAGAAAGGACCTCGCCCCCGTCCTGCCAGGGTCTTCTCTGTCCGCTGGCCCAGCACCTCGAGGGCGGCGTCTCTAGATTGTGGGTCCCCGTTCTGGCCGCGACTCCGAGAAGCGCAGCCCTCTCTGCGCCCTGGGCGCCGGGCCACCGCGCTCTCGGCCGGCAGCCTGCGGAGGCACCGCGCGCCAGGGCCGTCCGAAGGGCGGGTCTGCGGGACAGAAGCCGGTGCCTGGGTGTCCCTCGCCAGCCGGCCGGTCTGCCTCTGAGCTCTGGGGGTCCTCACGCAAACTCCTGGCGGGGCTCGTTGGAAGCTGGGGAGGCGAAAAGGGGAAGATGAGGGACCGGGAGGCTGACAAGATTCTGGAGAGCCAGCCACAGAATGCGACCGCTGGGGAGCGCCTGCACGCGCTCCCGACCTCTCCAGTGCGTTGCTCGGCTGCTCAAATTCATCCGACACAATTGATTCTACCGTGGCCGAAACGTCCAGTATCGTTTCCTGTTCATGGAAAACTGCCCCCCAAATAAATTGGCATGCGTATTTATGGCAGATTTTTAGCCTGGACCCCAGTGAAGATATATCTCCCTTTATTTCCCTCTGGTTTGGAATAAAAACGAGGGCATGTGTCATAAATGAAAAATAAACAGAAATTCTGGGTCACAATATGTTGTTCTTTGTGTCACCTACAAACACAGTGATGCCTTTTACTGTTGGCAATACTAACCGCGGGACAAGCCAATAACAGCTCATTAAAAATAATGTTGCAATAGCAAACACGTTCTTAGATTTTACAGCCAGAACACGATGTTATCAGACGCCAAGAAAATACTTCTTTATTTGTGGTTGGATTCTAAAAAACGGTTCTTGACTGACCCGGTCTTTACAAAGTCGAGAAATAACTGGTTCTCCACAAGCACAGTTTATTCTGTCTCCTGCTCCCCGTGGCCTCCCTTGCCCTGCCGTTGGGGAGTCCTGCTGCCCTGGCCTGCACGTGCCTCCCCGGAGCCATGATGTGCACCCTGGGGGAGGGGAGGGGCTGACTTGGCTGGGAACCGTTGACTGCCAGAGCCTAGAAGCCGGCCCAGGCGGGAAATGTCCGTCTCCCTCCTTTCGGGCCTCCTGGTATTTCTTGCAGTGCAGGAGAAGGAGTTGAGCCAGGTTGCCAGGATGCAAAGCACAGCCGCTCTCCACTCTCTGGGAAAGTATCTCACGCTCCACTGCAAGTCTTTCTGAGGCCTCCGGTCAGGATAGGCCACGAAAGCACCTGCGGGGACTCTCATATCTCCAGAGTTGGCTGTCTTCTTCCCTCACCCAGGATCCACCGCCCATCGCAGCTGCCTCTGCAAAGATTGTCGGGAGTTACTACTGGAACCACTCGCCAAAAGGGGCCTTTGGGGGGAGAGGAGTGAAGGTACCTACACAAAATTCCTCCTGGACATTCTCTAGGGGAAGCCAGGGCATCCCATGTCCTCTGTCCCAGGACACTGAACCAACACTCCACATTTTATCCTTTCACCCCTCCGTTAGATTGTGCCATCCAGTCTCCTCTCCGCTTACCTTAACTTCAGATGCTTCCCCATCTGCACCCCCGATTAATCTTCAAGTCAGTGCGAGTGTCTTCAACTTTCAGGCTGAATCCTTTCTGCATCACCCGAACAGACACACATGCAAATACACAAGATACACTCACACTTGACCTAGACATTCACCACACACACGGGCGCACTTCTGTACCTAACCGCATCCTACCCACGGGTTCCTAGTATGCCCACTCCCAGATGTGTTTAGCATCGCCACTATTGCCAAGGCACAGACATAATCATTGCACACTTTGATAGGTGACCCTGGGCAGCTGGTTTTCTCCGATGGCCCCAAGCTAAGGCAAGCTGGGAAGATTCCTGGGAGGACTGCATATGGAGCGAGGTGACGTTCCCACTTCTGCTGCAGGAAGTCGAAGCATCTCCCGGGCAGGGATGCCTCGCGTTCCCTCCTCACAAGCCATCGAGGCGAAACTAGCGGAGCCCGCCGCTGCCCGCCCCCTCCCAGCATCTCCTCAAGCTTTATGGGCCGGGACCTTCCTCGGAGCCGGGTCCCCTCGGTACCGGGCTCTGCGGGCCTGAGCGCCGCGGAGCGCCTCCGGGTTCTGGGAGACCGCAGAGCCAGCGCGGGAACTGTTTCTGTTGGCAACACAGATGTATTTCTTTTATTTGGTAGTAAATAGACCAGGTGTATGTACATCAAACAACAGCAAGACAGATATAAACTGACCCCCCCACCTCCCCTGGGCGCTCATTCTGAGCCGGGACGCTCCCTCCACTGGCCCCCGGCGCGCCAGAGCCAGAGGCCACGCCGTGGGAACCCGAGAGCGCACGCCTCTTCTTGCCCGAGAGGCTGGAGGTAGAGCTGGGAGGAGAAGGAGGCGAAAAGATCGGTGGGGATTTATTTGCTTTCTCTTCTGTGGCTGCACCCTCGGCCAGCTGGGGCCTGGGAGATGGGGGTGA